TACCACCACTGTAACTTCCAGCCTCCTACACCCATTCCCTTTTATATTGACAAAATAGTATATACTTCCTTTTCTTCCAATCATTTTCCAACAAATTGCACCCTGGTTTTTAGTTCTTCCATTCCATGAAAGGATTAACTGAAGTACGCAGTGTCCCAAATGCCATAGTCTACATATAATAACCGTTAGTCCTTCTTTGATTACTCTTTAACATTTCATTCTAATGTCTTCACTTTCTTTTATAATTCCTTTCCATTATACTAAGTGAAATAAGCCGATCACAAAAAGACAACTTTCCAATAACCTGAGCTTCCTAAGGACTCATAGATGGTAGAATGGTAGCTTCCAGAGTGGGCAAAGTAAGGAATTGTGTTAAATGGGTAAAGAGCCTCAACTGGAGAAGAAGAAAGAGTTCTAGAAGATGACTGGTGGTGATTAGACAAAATGTGAATCTACTTAACACTACAAAACTGCAAACTTAAAAATGGTTAAAATGGCAGAATTTATACTCTACATATTTTACTACAATTAAAAAAAATTCTCTCCTAGAGCACCCAAAATTATTATTCCACTCATAATATTCCTTTACAGTCTCCTTTGTGAACTGCTTCTCAATACCTTCAATTTAAACACTTCCCCTGATGATTTTATCTATATCGATGACTTCAACTATTACCTTCAAGCTCAAGCCTTCTGAATGTATTGTATAGCCTTACCCTCACTTACACACCAACATTTACTAGCCAACATTTGCACTTGAACCACAAACTAAAAGCATTCTCCTTTCCATTCACACCCCATGTCTCCAATATTCCCTATCTTAGTGCTAATAACTATGTATCCATAAGAGGATGGAAAATTTTTTTCTGTCAAGGGCCAGATAGTAAATACTTTAGGTGTTACAGCAGTTCATTCAGATTTTGTCACAAGTATTCAAGTCTGCCATCACAGCATGAAAGCTAGTCACAGATGTATGTAAGTGAATGAATGGCTGTGTCAAAAAAAACAAACAAAACTGTATGAACACTAGTATTTGACTCATAATTTCTACATTTCTCTTTTGACTGTTCTTTTGATTTTTTTCCCTACCATTTAAAATGTAAAACCTAAGACTGGTAGCTCAGTGGTTGAGTACTTACCTAACACGCATGAGGTCCTGGGTTCAAGTCCCAACATCACAAAAGGAAAAAAATGTAAAAACTACTCTTGACTCATAGACCACAACAAAATAGGAAGAGGACCATATTCAACCTACAGTTACAGTTTGCCTACCCTGGGCTAACTCAGAACTTGGATATCAGCTTTGATCCTGTCTTCTCCTTTATCTGCCAACACATATAATGTATTTGGTCATATCATTCTTTCTTTGTATACCTCTCTAATTTCTATCTCTTCTATCACAGCTGACATGTTAACGTTGGAAAGGTACAGCCTCTTAATTAGTTTGCCCACATCAAAAAACTGCCCCATGAAATCTGTCCTCATACTCTGCCAAAGAGATCTTTCTAAAATATAAATCTGACCATGTAATTAACCTGCTTAAAAATCTTCAGCAATACCTACCCTAAAAAGTTTCAGCTTCTGGGACAGTATACAAAAACCATCATGATCTAGTTACTGCTATCTTTTCAGCTTTGTTCCCTACCTCTGTGATTTTACACATGATAATTCTGTCAATGGGGTATAAAACCCACTATTTCTTAGTGAAGTGACTGCAGTACTGAGGACTCAGCTAAACACTGCCTCCTTTCTGAAGACTAACCCTCCTCTACTACCCATAAGTAACTTTGGCCTCTGCATAAATTGCTTTGGCCTCTGTATTTCTTCTATATATCTCTTTTATAAAACACATTTTGTTACTGGTTTGCATGTCCTTCTCCCCTCACTAAAAAGATATAGTATTTCTCTAGTACCATGGTTGGTCATAGCTAGCAAGCAAATACTTAAAGTCCAATAAAACCAATATTCCTTGATATCCTTGGGGGACAGGTTTAAGAACCCCTGCCCCAAAACCAAAATCTGTAAAAGCTAAAGTCCCTTATATAATACAACATAGT